GGATGATGTATTACAATGATAAATTTTGTTCTGGTAAAATGGATGAATAAAAGAAAGAGACAGAATGTATAGGTATAATTCTAAAAATAAAAGTCCATCAAAGCAAAATGAAAGAAAATTGCAAAAAGATTCAGGCTGACTTTGTAAATAGGGAAGGATGGAGGGGGTGAAGAGAGGGCTAGGAATGGGGAAAAAATAAGAACCAAGATGCATTATATAAAGGTACCATTCCCAATGAGAAATGTAATTGTGTTGTATACCTACAATGTACCAATAAAAGAATTTAAGAAAAAAAAAGATTCAGGATGAGTTATTTGATGGTATAATATGTTGAATTAATAAGAAAATCCCAAAGTTAATCTTTCTGCTGCTTACTAAGGCAAACCTTAAACATAAGAGCACATGATAGTTGCAAGTTAAAAGCTTGGAAAAAGTAGCAACTGCCAAAATCAATTAACTGCCTCAAAAACAAAATGAAACAAAACAAAACTACTGTAGCTATATTAATAGGAGAAGAAATAGTGACTAATTCACAAACAGAATAGGGACAGAGATGGTTACTACATAATATTTGCTATAATTTAACAAAAGAAATACATCAGATTTATATACACATGAAACAAAATGCTTTCACTATACTTCAGTGAAATAATGAGCACACTATAGGGAAATTTCTCACAGCTATACATTTATTTTCAATATTAAGTTTCATTACATTGTAAACCTCAGCAAAGATGAAAATGTCTGAATATTGCATAATGCATGAGCACTAAATCATTAATTTGATTTCTGGGTCAAAAATGAATTTCTGCCTCCAAAAATTAGAAAGCATGTATTTTAAAAACTAACAAGGGAAATTATAAAAATTGTTTATAGCCTGGACCATAAAAACATCAACAATTTTAAAAATATATGTTATGGTAGACCTACTTTCAGATGAAAATAGAATAAAGCTGTACAATAACAAAAATATTCTCAGGTTTGAAAATTTAAGCTATCTCTAATAACTCAAGAGTTAAAAAGAATTTCACATGTGACCACTATCAGCCTGCAGGCCTCCTGAGGCACTGATGCCAGCGACATTTGCATACCTTGGCCTGACTTCTTTGGAGGCTGCCAAACAGGTGCATTTGATGCATTTCAGCATTTTTGAAGCCTCAAAACAAGCAAACAAAGAAATAAAACATCAGAAATTTAAAAATAATTAGAATTAAAATAAAATGAATATACTAAATAATGCAACACTTGCCACCATGACAAAACACTCAAATAATTGAAATAATTGAAATATTTATGATTTAAATATTTCTTTTGGAAGAAAAAGGTTAATAATACTATGCATTCATTTTGAAGGAATAAACAGTAGAAATGCTCAAATAAAATGTAACATAAAATGACAGCACATATCCACACAATACAAAATAAAAATATAGGATGTCAAAATTCAAATTATGGATTCTTTGAACAAACTAAACAAAACCGACAAATATCTGGCAGGAGGTATTGATGTAGAGAAACCACAAATAAACAATGCTATGAATATTAAGAAGGCATACATACAGTTAAAGTAGGAATTAGTATTAGTGAAAATGACAGGCCAACAATTTTGAAAACAGCACTTACAGAAGATGAAATTGAAAATAATTTAACGCTTTTGCCTTTTAAAGAACATAAAATAACTATTAAAGTTATCCCTCAAGGAATATATTGGGCCATTTTTTTGTAAGTTGGTTTGAGTTATCTAGATTTTGTAGATGTCTCTGTAAAATATAGAAAATTTAGGATTATTTCCCAGATTCTTTCACGCAAGGGGATGTTAAATTTCACAAAATCTTTAAATGAAAGGAAAGATAACATACTTCGTCTGTAGATACAAATTCAAAATACAACTAAAATAATATCAAATTGTATGTGATATTATTCAAAGTAGCACCAATAACAGCTTTGTTTGTGTAACTCCTATGAATATAAAATAATATTAGAATATCCATAAATGATTAAAAGTAAATGTTATGAATTATATAATTGTTTCAATAGCGAAGGCAATTCCTTTCATATAATTTAATTTGTGATTATGACATAAACTTTTTCTATCACTGTATTAAACATCATATACTGGTTTGGATCTTGGAGGTACAAAAGCAGTAGAGAAAAAGCTAGTAACATATAAATAAAGCTAAGTTTTAGTTAAGAATAGTGTACTGGGCTGAGCATGGTGGTGCACAACTGTAATTCTGGCACTGGGGAGGCTGAGGCAGGAGAATGAATGAGATTTGAGTTCAGATTGGGCTACATAATAGGTACAAGGCCAGCCTGAATTACATAGCAAAACCTGGTCTCAAAAAAAGAAACAGTGTACTGATGTTAATTTCTTAGTTTTGACAAATGTGCCATGGCAATGAAAGATGCTGTCACTGATGAAATTGCAACTTTCTGTAAGTATAATATTTTTAGAAAGTAAAATATACATGAAAATGAAGATAATTTAAATTGGATCATATATATAAATACAAATTATGAAAGTGTAAAATTTAGGAAAAATAAAATAGAAAAAAAAAACAACTTCAGGACCTAGGGCTTGGTAACAGCAAAAGGATAGCATATTTTTTACAAAAATGAAAAAATTATATTTGGTTAAAATTGAAAACTTTCATGGGAAAGATCTTACTAAGATAATAAAATGATGAAATACAGATAAAAATGAAATGTATTAGAAAAGTACATATGTGACAAAGAACTTAGTCTAGAAAATATAAAGAACACTTAAATTTCAATAGTAAGGAGAAAAGTAATCAAACTGAAAATTGGGAATAAAGCATGCTACATTTCAGTGAAGAGGACATATAGATGGCATATGCACTCATGAAAATATTTTCAGTATCACTAGCCATTAGGACGACGGACATTAAGTCTGCAATTGGATATCACTACATATTTAATAAAAAATAAAAAAAAATCAGTGGCAACACTTCTGGCAAGAAGGCAAAAAAAAAAAAAAAAAACTACCTCCATTCTGGACTACATTTTGGCTCTTTCTTAAGAACTAAATGTTCCCTTTTTGTCTTTGCTGCTGTGTGCATGCCATGTTGTTTCTCCTCTTTGATGCCTGTTTTTTATCCCTGCCTTGGAGCTAGCCAATTATGGACTGAAACCTCTACAAACTGTAAGCCAAATAAACCCCTTCCCCGTTAGAAAAAAAAAA